AGCAGCGACCACGGCGGCCACGGCGGCGGCCGCGTCCCCGCCGCGGCTCATCTCCTCCGGCGTGAAGCCGTTCATGTCTCTGCGCTCAGGGGCGCCGGCGCTGAAAGAAATCCTCGCTCCCTCTCTCTCCGGAGACGCCGGGGTCTCGGCGGGGTCCCTCAGGCACCTGCCCGGCGGCGGCAATTCACTCTGCACCTCAAGTCCTCCGACAGCACAGCACAACACCAAGTGTCCCCGGCCTGCTGGTGTCTGCCGATGCCGGGTCAGTGGACAGGGCTTGGGGTCGGGAACTAGAGTCGGGCGGCGCCTGGAGCCGGTACCCCGCTCACTGTCACATGGAGACTCTTCAGCAGTTGGACCACGGCGCCTCCGCCTCCCTCCGGTTCCTCGACCTGCGCAAGCGCGAAGCGCCCTCTCCCGCCCGGTCCCGTCCTCTCTGCAGCAGGGCACCACGGGAATTGTAGTTCTCTGCAGGAGAGTCAACCTGAGCTCTGCTTTAAGGCCGCGCGTCGCGGGTTGGAGGAACTACTTATCCTAGCATGCATCGCGCGACGGCGGGCCGGGTTTTTTTTTTTCCCTTTTTCTTTTTTAAGCTCGGGGAAAATAGGGGCGTGTGGTTGTGGTTGCGTTGTTTTCTCTCTTCTTATCTCTCTCGGGGAGCTGTGTTGTGTTTAGCTCCTGGGATTCTGCAGAGGTGGCATTCTAGACAAAGAGGTCACTCAACTCCTGAGGCGAAGCACAAAATGCGGGGGGAGGAGAATAAGCGTGTGGGAAAAAGTTTCGGGGCCGTTTTTCTATCTGTGGAAAAAGAGTTTTTGGTGTGACTATGTTTTTGTGGGAAACTCAAACCAAAGAGAACTCAGGCGACCTGGCGCTCTTCGGGTCCTGGAGGTCCGGCAGCTAGCTTCACAGCTGGCTGGCAGCTCCATTCATTGACGCACCAAATTGCTCAGGGCGCCTGCTTACGGGAAAACGCCCATCCCGACCTCTCGCCCTCCAGATGCCTCCGCTGAAGGCCATTTCTAAATCCTTGCACGTTCCTGCAAGGAACGCGTTTTGTTCGCGGGCGCAAAGTCTGCTGCTTCCTGAGGTGGAGCTAGTGACTAGTTGACTGTAACAGGGCTTCTCTTCGCCTCCACCCCCAATCTTTTCAGTTTCTCCTCGAATGAACCTGGAGAAAGGCGGAGTCTAATATCATTTAAAAGGGGACGCGGAACCCCACAAATACCGAGTTAGCCTGAGTGCTTCTTAGAAACTCCCCAGCGTTCGCTCTATGAAACGAGAAGAGAGAAATAAGCCACATTTCCTCGGTGGTCCGCACGCGCGTGTGCGCTTCTGTTGCATGCGTATGTGTATGCATGTATGTGTGTGCGCGTATGTGTGCATGTACGTGTATGTGTGCGCGTTTGCGTGTCTGTGCGTGCGTGCATGTGGACGTGTGCTTGTGGAGGGCGGGGTAGAAGGATGGGAGCGGCTAATATGAATGCTGCGGTTGTGCTAGTTACGCTGCGTCGTTCTTTATCGGTAGATATATGCTGTTAACAATCCCATTGTTTGAACAAAAATACAAAGCAGTATTCTTTTTGCAAGTTCCTTTAGACTTACAGAGTAAATTTAGTGATAGACGATTTTTTTTTTTAAACGTATAATGTCATCTGCCCTGAAATTTAAAGCCACCCGTTCCATCTGTGCGCTTCGGTTCTAGGCTATGGCAAAGGAAAAAAAAAAAAGAAAGAAAGAAAATATTACGTAAATTGAGTGAGCAAAAGAAAAGCGCTGAATGGTAAGTACTTTGTGTTATCTTTTTACGCTGCTCTGTCCAATAGGGTGTCCTCTAGCCATATGTGGATATTGAGCGCTTGCAATGTGGTTGTTGTAACTGAAAAACTGAATTGTTAATTTAATTTTAATTAACTTAAATTTTAAAAACTGATTTCAGTTATTGGAAAACTTTTAAGTATATTTGGAACAACTTGGATATATGAATCTGTTTTTTCAACTTAAATTTTATGTAATTTAAATTTAAATCTAAATCCAAATTGAGATGTGCTGTAAGTATAAATTATCAAGGGGATTTCAGACTTAGTACCAGAAATTTTTTAAAAAAAGAATATTGAATAGCTTATTAATAATTTTTATATTGATTACATGTTGAAATGATAATATTTTGGATATACTGGGTTAAATGAAATATAACATTAAAATAAATTTTATCTGTTTCTATTTTTTTAAATATGGCTACTATGACATTTAATATTACACTTGTGGCTCACATATTTGTCTTAGATAATGCTGGTTTAAAATATTAAAACAGAATAATACTATCTATTGTTTATTAATATATTTTCTTAAATGGTAAAAATGAGAACATGTGGAAGAGATGGATATGCTCCAAGGGTGGTGGTCATCTCTAAGGAGAGAGGCCAAGGGATAGTATCTGGGAATCAAAGGTGGTCTCTATGGTATTTGTAAGTTTTTTTTTAATTAAAAAAACATCTGAAACAAATATGATATTGGGTTGTTGGATTTTCATTTTTTCTTTCTACTTTTATGTATTTTTTAAATAATTCATAATTATTGTTTGGTTCTTGCCCTTAAAAGTTTGTAATCTATCTTCTGCAAAATGTGATCAAATCAGTTCATGTATATACTGTATGTATGGTTTAGTTACGTATCAGTTTCATATGAATTTTACTAAAGTGATGAATTGTAGTTATATGCTTTCTTTACATACAATACAGTCTTTTCAAAAGGTCCAATTAGGGCTGCCCCGTGGTGTAGGGGTTAAGTGTGCGTGCTCTGCTGCTGGCGGCCCGGCCTTGTCAGGACATGCTGTGGCGGGTCCCATATAAAGTAGAGGAAGATGGGCACGGATGTTAGCCCAGGGCCAGTCTTCCTCAGCAACAAGAGGAGGATTGGCACAGATGTTAGCTCAGAGCTGATCTTCCGCACACACACACAAAAATAAAAGGTCCAATTAAACTCTCCTTTATTGTATACTAGGATCTTTTCTAGGCCTTGGGGATACAAAAATAATTGGGAGAGGGTCCTAGCCATTTTGGAGTTCTCTGTTTAGTAGGGGAGACGGGTAGCTTAACAAGCACATGATACATGCTGCTGTAGACTGAATGTTTGTGTCTCCCCAAAATTCATATGTTGAAACCTGATCCTCAAGTGATGATATTTGGAGGTAGGATCTTTGGGAGGTGAATGGGCCCTGAGGGCTGGAGCTCTCATGAATAGGATTTGAGACTCAGAAAAGAGGCTCCAGAGAGCAACCTCATCCCTTCCACCATGTGAGGACACAGTGAGAAGACTGGCAGTCTATGAACCAGAAAGCAGACTCTCACCAGCCACAAATCTGTCAGCACCTTGATCTTGGACTTCCCAGCCTCCAGAACTGTGAGAAATAAATTTTTTTTGTTTATAAGCCACCCAGTCTATGGTATTTTTTTTTTAATAGCAGCCCAAACAAAGACACATTCCTCAATAAAATTAGAGAGACTTAGCACACAGGAGGAAATGATTCATTTCTGGCAAGTAAAAAGCATTCCTGGAGTAGATGACATGTAAATTCTCCATGCCGGATTTAAAGTATTTCTTCTGTGAATCTATTGTCCATACAAAGAAATTTTCATAACAACCGTGGTTCATTGTTTATTTCTACAACTCTTCATATCCAGGGCAGGTAAGAATTCCTTGCTTTAAGAATAATTTACAATCAAGGTTGGAACCACGTTTTGGGAAGCTTCAAGCTCATAAAATTTGAGTCTTTAAGAAAAAGTATATAAAATTAAGAATGCAAAATTAGGTACAGGCCTGTCCAAGTGAAGGACTATGAACTTTACATCCATTAGCTTCATTATAAATTACTTCAGAGTAGATAATATGGAAATATAGATTTATGAAACCTAAGTTATAGGAGGGTTGTTGATATCATCAAAATATTCTTTGCTTTCTGAAAAGATTCAAAATATGATTCTTTAAAAAGTATTTTTCCCTGCCTTTCTTCTCTCTAAGGCTTTTAACATGATTGAATTTTTCTGGTTTTATTTTTAAATAAAAAATTAAATGTAAACAATTAATTGTAAATTTTAACTTACAAAAATATCCAAATTGGCCCATAATCCTAATATGAACATGATTTTAAGTTCAAATAATAAAAGGTTCAATATGAAAAACAGAAGCCTGTTTCCCCTCATCTCCTCAAATCCCTGTCCCTAAAAGCAAGCAATGTTAACAATTTCTTGTTTCCTTCTAGAAAAAAATTATATGCATATACCAGTATGTATGTATATATATATGTTTTTTTTCAGCTAAGGATCACACTGTTTTACACTATGCTTTCTTTTACCTAGTTTAAAATATAGCAAGCGTACCAAAAAAGTGCATAAAACGTAAATGCCCAGTTTAAGCAGTTTTGGTAAAATAAACATCTATATAACTGCTATGCAAGTCAAGAAACAGAACACTGCCAACAGGGCCAACTTCATGGGCGTGCAACCAGTGCAGTGGCACCGGGCCCCAGGCTCAGAAGCCCACCTCCTTCAACCCCTTACTCTCTTCACCCTGCATGTGGTTTAATGCTCTGCGATCAACGATCACCACTATGAAATTCTCAACGATTTTATCTTTGAATTTGTTGTATAAGTTAAGTATCCCTGGGACAATGCGTTGGTTTAAGCATGGTGGGCCTCTGGTAACCGCACCCCCCCTCCCCCGGCGGCTCTCTCTCCCCTGCCAACTCTGCTCTGGCCGGGGCCTGAGCACTGGTGCAGGGATTGTCAGTCTGGGTACGCAAGCCCTTCCCCCTCCCCCAAGCTGAGTCAGGGGTCAGGCCCCCGGTCCCTGTGAGGGTCTGCCTTCTACCAGGAAGAATCGCTGTGCCCAAGGGAGCGTGACATTAAATAGCAAATTAGAAAACACTATGACAGGTCGAGAAAGAGAGGCCATGGAAGAAAGAAAAAAAATTTTTGCATTAGGCCCCACAGATTATGTAGCCGGCCTTGATTGACAACATGCCGGCCCACGTGCTCCTCCTTCATCATAACCCCCCTCTCCTGGCTAGCAGCAGCAGCCTTCCTACTTATGGTATTCACTACCTCACTTTTCATTATAATTTTACCGCATAATTATTAACTCTGAAAATACTTTATAGTTTTGCCTGTTTTTGAACTTTATATAAGTGGAATCATGTACTTCGTTATTGTTTTCTCTGGCTTCATTCACTCTGTTTTTAAGATCTACTTGTACATCACTCAACTAGCTCTCTTCATTATGGTATGAATAAAATACAATGTATTTAACCATTTTATTGTTGAGGGACATAGGAGTTGTTTTCAGTTTAGGACTATTGAAAACAATGTTGCCATGGCCATTCTTGTGCATGTACCCTGATACATATGAGCTTGCAGTTCAGTGGGATAGGTATTTGTGAAC